TAATGACCGAAACGGAAGAAACATGCTGAAATATGTGTAGTTGGCCGAAATTAAACCGACACAAATTGATCAAAAATAGCCAAATCGAAAGTAGCTAAACATACTTAATTACGCACGTTGCCTAATTATGCATTTTCAAACTTTAATGACCATACAAAATCAACGACAGCAAATCCACGAAGATCATAATTAAGCGCACCGCATTTTTTTCTAAACCTGAGGCGGTGAGGCCTAAATGTTGTTTTGGACAATATTAGTGTTTTTGCCACTTTCCGCCCTTTTTTGGTCTACTCATTTATAGATAGTATAAAGTGAAAGGGTGTCCAACTAACACTATTGGATAGAAAAATAAGTTAGTATATATACACTCAAAGATATTCACACAGATATACGCACAAACAACATGTTTTAGTTACAAATTACATTTCCTACTCCGATTCCATTTGGTTTTGTCAAATTTCTTAGTTATCTCAAGAACTTCAATTCCTCATTTGAGTAATTAATTTGTAAATCTGCTCATTTATCTCTCTGATGATGCATTAATCTCAATATTACAATTTTTAATTTTCTTATTTATCGTCATCAAAGTCAAAGCTGTGTTGTAAGAACCAGACTGGAGAGCGACCCGGACAGATGATCGGGTCACGGGTCAACCTGGACCCGGCGGGTCAGCCCGGTCAACGACCGGTAAACCCGGTCAACAACAGTACATATACTTCCTCTGTCCCAGAAAATTCTTCCCACTTTGGCTTTGCACGGAGATTAAGAAAGTGGAATAAAGTGGAAATGTATGGTTGTGGTTGTGTAAGAAAAAAGTGAAATGAATGTGAACCACACAAATTGTCCAAAAATGGTAAATGAGAAGAATTTTTTGGGACGACCCAAAAAGGAAAGTGAGAAGAATTTTATGGGAGAGAGGGAGTAATTAATTAATTAATTATATTAAAGATTAAATTCATTTTTTTTGAAAGTATTAAATTCATTATTAATTAATTATATTAAAGATTAAATTCTCTAAAATAGAGTCAAAGGTGTCGATAATGAAATGAGATAAATAGTTTTTTCAGAAAACCCGACTATTCATACTTCATAGTACTACATGATGTTACGTGGAAACGAGTGTTCTTTGTAATTGTGAATGAGTGTTAAATCGACACATATGAAACACATGTTCCATTTTCATAATAATGAAATAATATTGATTGAGCAAATTCGACCTACGTTTTATTTTGCTTAAAGAGTTGTTGTTAATCTTCTCAAACGAGGTAAGAGTTAGAATTCTGCCGTGATCCTCGATTAGAATTCTTGAATTCCATTAAATTTTGAGTGACCAATTAAGAGTTCTAATTGTTTCATTAAAATTTAGGTTTCGTCAATTTTCGGTGGATTTTCATGATTATTAGCTAAAAAACACTTCAAATATCCTTATTAAAACCAAACCACTTATATTCGGATTCTAATTTTTTGTCAGTAGCAAGTTCAACAATGCTGATATAATAACCTATCATATTGTGGAGTTAGCGATCTGGATCGGCCTTTTGGGGCTAGCTAGTTTTATGTCTCGCTCCAAGATTGCTCCGAGCTATTGCTCTGCTTTGTCCACTGTTTATACATGATCCACCATAATTATATATTGAGTGAGATTCCGGGTGACAACACTTTTTAACGTGAGAAATGAGAACGCTCTAAAATGATGCACATTATGGTTCACGAAAATGCATATTTATAGTTAAAGTAATGCAAAATTCACATGTGCACATTTACGTTTTAACATTTGCACAATTTAAATGCCCATTTTCAAAATTTTTATATGCATATTTGTGTTTTATTTGATGCACGATACCGAAATTTAAAACTCTAGAATCATTCTTATTTCTCTCCTAAGATGGTATTCTCATATGATCATTACTCCCTCTCTCTCCACACACACACACACCAACACACACACCCACACCCACACCCACACACACTTATATTACGTATATAAATGAATAAAAAACATGCAAGTAAGATAAATTAAATCTATATGAGACATCTGTGGGGGACAACAGGGTGACCGGGTGAGGCAGGGAGGGCAGATCTAGGAATTAGGAGGAACGGGGGATGCATCGGGGATGTTGAAGACATGGAGCGGGGATGAAGGGTTAAACCCTGCCTAGGGCGGAGGTGGAGGGGTGGCCAACTGGGCCACGGCCTAGCCAAATTTTATGTGTAAAAATTTATCTGTATAAATTCTTTGTACTGGCTCAGCCCAACTCTTACTCTTGCCTACGCCCCTAAAGTCCCTGCCCCAAACCTGTCCTGTTGCCATTCCTTATTTGAGTCATATGTAAGGATGTTTTTATTTGGACAATAATTTGTTGGTCTGGTCTGATCTAGTTTGGTCGGATACATGTCTGGTCTCTGTGTAATTTATAACTACGTTTGAAATGGTCTTGTCCGTTTAAATCTGGTATGGTCTGATCCGTTATGTCTGATCTGGTGTGAGACTGAAAACGTAAAAACATCCCAAATTTTCCAATTACATTAATTAATATAAAAAATAAAGGATTCAGGACTAGGGGTGGAAAATTCGGTTTACGGTTCGATTTTATTCGGTTTCGGTGCGGTTTCGGTTTACTCGGGTTGGGAGAATTTGTATCAAAATAAAACCATTTTTGTTTCAGTTTGGTTTCGGTTCTGTTCGGTTTGAAGTTCGGTTTACCAAAGTAAAACATATTATGTTTAATTTAGTTTGATTTGATTCGTTTGCTTATGTTTATTACTTCATATTTTATTTGATCAAGTTCTATATTTTAGAATCAGAAAATGAAAGTAGTAGTCCATCTCATCCTTTTTTAATTTATTGATTATTTAAATAAAATGTAAAAGGAAATAAAAGAAAGAAAAATAAATAATAAAATATTATAAATTAAAACTTCTAACATTTTTTTATCACTACAAAAAATTCACTTCTTGCAAAATAATAAGATAGTTGATTGACATTTATAATATCACATAAAATATTCAAAAAAAACTAAAAGAGTTGATGGTACAAATGTTGTAATATTCAAAATTTTATTCAAATGAATCATGTAAAAATATAAATACAATTTGCTATTGTTATCGCCAAACATAATAAATACAAATATGTCTTATTAGCTAACTTTGTCATAATGAATGTATGAAATGTGTAAAAGTTAAAATGATACGAGTATATGCTTAAATATGTATTTTCATGTCTAAATTATTTATTTATATCTTAAAAATGAAGAGTGAAGATAAATACAAAGTATGTATGTGTGTATATATATATAGAGGAATGTTCAGGTCCTAACATTCCCCGTCCGAGCACCGTCCGAACATGGACGTTTGGGCCACTTCCCGGTGGAATTTTTTGATGAATTTTTTGAGCATGTTCCTCATCAAGTCTAGTTTGTCCATACCAAATTTCAGCTCAAAATTCGATCGGGAAGACATTCAAATCATTTTTTGAAGTTGACTGCGTCAAAATATACATATTAAAACACAGTCAACTTCAAAAAATGATTTGAATGCCTTCCCGATCGAATTTTGAGCTGAAATTTGGTATGGACAAACTAGACTTGATGAGGAACATGCTCAAAAAATTTCATCAAAAAATTCCACCGGGAACAGCACCAAACGGCGGTGTTCGGACGGAGGCTCCCGTCCGAACGTTCGGACCTGAACATTCTTGTCTATATATATATATATATATATATATATATATATATATATATATATATATATATATATATATATATATATATATATATATATATATATATATATATATATATATATATATATATATATATATATATATATATATATAGTCCCGATCCTGTCAGGCCGGCCTGACGGGAACCGCCGTCAGACCGGCCTGACGGGAACCGCCGTCAGACCGGCCTGACGGGAACCGCCGTCAGACCGAGGCCATCAGAGGCCCTTCCCGGTGGAATTTTTGATGAAATTTTTTGAGCATGTTCTTCATCAAGTCTAGTTTATCCATACCAAATTTCAGCTAAAACTTCCATTGGGAAGGCAGTCAAATAATTTTTGGAAGTTAACTGCATTTTATATGTATATAAAGTGCGCAGTTAACTTCCAAAAATCATTTGAATGCATTCTCGATTGAATTTTTAGCTGAAATTTGGTATGGATAAAGTAGACTTGAGAAGAACATGCTCAAAAAATTTCATCAAAAAGTTCCACCGGGTAGGGGCCCAAACGTTGAGGTCCGTATGGAGGTCCGTTTTTGGAGGTCCTGACAGGAAGACTACTCTCTCTCTCTCTATATATATCTATATATCTATATATATATATATATATATATATATATATATATATATGTTGTTCGGTGTTCGGTTTACATTTTTTCCGTTTTAAACCAAATCAAACCAAACCAAATCAAACCACCAATTTTAATAATATATGAAAGTTTCTTGAGTTTCTTTAGTTCGGTTCGGTTTTATTCGGTTTTTATCGGTTTCAACTTGGTTTGGCTTAATACGGTTTGGAAGAAATAGTACCAGACTCAAACCAAATTGCATACGGTGCGGTTTCGATTCGATTTAGTTCGATTTGGTACAATTCGATTAAACCAAACCATTATGCCCACTCCTAATAAGAACTACTACGGAGTAATTTGTACGGAGTAATGGTTTAATGGAAGTGTGGACCACCTTCCATCTGCCATTTAAAGCAGAACAATAAAAGGAAAAAGGAAAGATGAAAAAAAAGGAAAGATGAAATGCTTGTATAATGGTTAATTTCCAACCTCGTACGAATCAATACTTTATGGTTTACTGCATTTCCCCAATAAGTTTTGCCAAAACGAGTTAAATACGTGGTTTTGACGGCCCCTCTTTTAATGGATACTGTAGCTAGGTTTGCTCTTTTATAGATACTTGTATGTATTTTTTTTTTTTTGTATGTATTTATCTATATATATACTCCGTAGAATTATACAGTGAGAGAGTGGGAATATTATTATTGCCGGGTTAGTATATATGCAAATTTTGGTTCTCTGTTCTGAAACACAGGCATACATTTTTGAGTCACCAAGAAGCCTCTTCATTTCCTGCTTCTTTCCTTTTATTCCTTTTATGTATGAAGTCCTCAATTTCCTGGTTTTACCTAGGGTTTCCCTTTTCTTTCCAGAAAAGGATAAAATATCTACTGTCTTAGAGATCTTTTTGATTTACCAGGATGGGAGATTATTTGACCTTATTGAAATGAGTTATTTTACCATTTAAGGAAAACATTATATGGTTTAATTTAATTTTAATTTTTTGCAGTTTCCGGGCCGGCCGGCGGGGGCAAAATGGTCAGACGGAAGGTTGAGGTGGCGAGGATCGAGAACGCGACGAGGCGGCAAGTGACCTTCTCCAAGCGGCGAATGGGATTTCTGAAGAAGGCTCACGAGCTTTCTGTGCTCTGCGATGCCCAAGTCGCTTTGATCATTTTCTCCCAGAAAGGAAAGCTCTACGAGTTCTCAAATTCCAGGTATTTGTTTAACTCCATCTTAAATCCATTTTTTCAATATGTATTTTGCTATATATGGGTATTTTAAACATGTATTTTGCTTCATCTTTCTCTGTTACATTTACTTAAATAAAAAAAATGTTTAATTTATATGTGTATTTTGAAGAGAATATTACCCGAAATAGGACAAAAAAGATTTAAAAATTCCAAAATAGAATTGCTATGTTTTTATTCCCAAAATAGGACTAATTACTGTCATGTTTTGGAAGTACTAGACTTCAAACATGACAGTATTTTCCAAATCTGGCAGTAATTACTCCTATTTTGGGAATAAAATACATGACAGTCCTGTTTTAGAATTTTCAAACTGTTTTAGTCCTATTTCGCGAACTTTCCCTATTTTAAAATATAGTATTGGGTTCCGGTGAAAATGGTTATTTCCGTGAGAAATCAGACTGACCTAAAATGGTTCTGGTTTATTTCATGACAATGCATATTTATGAATAAAACAATGCACATTTCAAATTGACAGAAAAAGTTTTATGTCACTGTAATGTCACAAAAATGTCACTGTATTTTTTTTATTCATGTTCAGTGCACATAGGGGTGGATTCAGTTAGGTTCCAGAACCGAATGAGAGAATTTTATACTGAACCGAATTTTCAATTTTTGAAATTCCTTAACCCGCAACCAAACCAAAGTTTAATGAAACCCAATTTTCCGGAAACCGATCTTTGAGGTTGGTTTTTTGGTTTGATGAGAAACTAAATGGATTTAGAAAAACTTGACTATGGCTTGGCATTGAAGCAGCCTTGACCAATTGACCACCTATTCCAAGTCTTTATCGAAGGGGCGAATATATAGAGATATATGAGGAGTAAATCCTCCAATTGGCGTGAGAACTTTTCAAAAGCTTTAGAAAAGTTAATTGAAGAGGACTGGTAGCAAGCAGGAATTGAACACGTTGTTAATAGTTGGGCTTAAAAGGATTTTATGACTTTGCTGCGGAATATATAATAAATAAATATCACTTAATAAAATATATGTTCGCTTTTGGTTTAAATCGATTTTAAACCTCAAAAAACCATCTTTAAACTGATTCATGTTCGGGTGTCGTTCAAGTCGGTTCGGTTTTCGGTTCTTTCGATTTACAATGCCAGCCCTAAGTGCACATGTCACATTTCTCTTTCACATACTCCGTAATACACAGTTATCAGATCTAACGCCACATATTCATTCTCATTTCTGTTCTTAAATCATATTCTCATGTAATTCAAATTATATATTCCCTCATCCTTGAATTATCTGCCAAATTTCTTTTTTTTTTGTCTATCCCAAAATTATACGTAGTATCATCTTTCCCTTTAAGACAAAGACTTGTTATTGACATCATTTTTTACTCATTCTTACCAATTTCAAACATTTCTTTCTCTTCCGCATACCTCCCCATTACACAAACTCCACTTTGGAAGATAATTCAGGGACCAAAAGAGTAATACAATATTTAATGATAATAGTAACATTGAGTGTATATATGTACTGCAAAGTACGATTATGAACTGTGTTATATATGTAGCTATAATGGGCTGGTCTTTCTTGGACCAGTCCATCTTTGATTTTTGATTTTTGTGATACGAGCCGGGGCTTGTCCCGTGCCGTTTGGATTCTGCCATAAAAATCCTCTCTCCCACCTATCCCCGATTGCGGATGGGTGGGGGTGTATGAATGGTTAGATACTATTTTAGTTAGTATAACTAGCTTAATAGTTTTAAAACATTGTACTATACTATTTTCTGGATATATATATATATATATATATATATATATATATATATATATATATATATATATATATATATATATATATATATATATATATATATATATATATATATATATATATATAGGGGAAAGATCAAGTACAAAGTGTGCTTATTGTGCAAATATTTGTACGATGCACCTTGACGTTATTTGCATTGCATATTGAGGTTCAAAGTATTGCACATTATAAAGTCATAAAAATAACAGTTGCACATTAAGGTGCAACGAGTTGCACCCTAAAAAGTTGGGCTTTATTACAAAAATGTCACATTGCCTTTATGTCCTTTGGATCAACTCATCGGACGGTCAAGATGAGTTTGTACTTTGTAAATTAAGAAGGTTTTGTATTTGATCTCTATTCTATATATATATATATATATATATATATATATATATATATATTTCGGTTCAGGTGAGAAATGCATCTAATGTGAGAAATGAGAATGAATCTAAGCCATTGGATTTACGAAGTTGCACTAAACTTGGCTTTATGTTGCAGTAATATTTAAATTTTGCACATGTTGCACTAAAATTGTTTCATGTTGCCCTAATATTTGACGGCGTTACACCGAAATAGCTTCATGTTGCAATAGACACGTGTAATACGGATTTTTCAGAAGTATTTACAGAAATGCCACCGTGCTAGATTGCATATTTTAGTGCATTATGAAGTGTCTTTTACTGCAACTTAGTCGAATCCAATGGCTGAGATTCATTCTCATTTCTCACCCAAAGGGTTCTTCTCACTTGAACCTTACCATATATATATATATATATATATATATATATACATATATATATATATATATATATATATATATATATATATATATATATATATATATACATACATACATATATATATATATCCAGAAAATAGTATAGTACAATGCTTTAAAACTATTAAGCTAGTTTTATATTGAGAAGTGCTCTTAGGCTGAGAACTGCAAAGTTAAACTTGTAGACTAAATATAGGAACTTTTAACCAATAAATCATAACTTATAAACTCCTCGAAAATAATTACAAAAATGCCACCGCAAAAAAATAATTACGGAAACCTGGAATTTTTTTTGACGCGGTGGTATTTTTGTAATTATTACGGAGAGCTTTATAAGTTATGATTTATTAGTTATAAGTTCATATATTTACTCTATAAGTTTACTGCATTGTAACATCAGATGCAAATCCAAGGGCTGAGATTACTTCTTACTTCTCATTTTAAGGGGTACTTTTCACCTGATCTTTTCCAAAAAAAAGACAAAAAAATACGTAGTATGTAGCTATACATTGATTTGATGATTCTATTAAGTACTCGTACGAGGCTAGAAAGAATGAATCATATAGTTGAACAACTTATGTACTGTGACACTGTTGGTACCTTTTTTTGTATTTTACTGGCATGCCTAGCTGATGTTGATGATGAACTATGCTGCTAAAAATCTTTAATTTACTCTATATGGATCGTGAGATCTAAGAGAATCTAGCTGTGGAATTTTCAATTTTTATGTATTTTTTTATGAGGAATTCAATTTTCATGTATTTGTTATTTGTTTCATATGCAAATATATATTTTCATATGCATTGAAATCGTATTAATTAATTAAGAAAATATGTTTTCTCGACTTGAATATAAAACGTACATTAATACTCGTACATACGTATTATTTCCACTCCGGACAAAAGTACTTCTAACTTTCTAAGAAGCTAATCAACCGAAGAGTACTGTGTTTCAATAAATTAAAAGGTTGGTTTGCATTTTGCAACAACTTTAAAAAAAGCACTTCTCAGCTTTTGGCTTAAAAAAGCACTTATTTACCAAACACTACCAATTTTTTACTTTTCTCGGCTTTCGTGTCAAAAGTGCTTTTCCCCTTTTTATACACCAAAAGCACTTATTTTACCAAACACAACCAACTTTTACTTTTCAAAATCACATTTTTCTCAAACACTATCAACTTTTACAATTAATCACTTTTTCATTTCATCTCCAAAAGTGCTTTTTTTTAAGCAGAAGCTGTTGCAAACACTCCCAAAGTTTAGGTTAGTGGTTTGGTAGTCAGATTTTATAGGTATTTGGTAGCCAATGTTTTTGACTAAACGTTAACTTTTTACTCTGCACTTTGTAAATACGTAGTAAAAAAAGCTGGAGATATTACCCGAAATAAGACTAAAAAAGTTTGCAAATTGGAGCATATTACACAAGTATATGCTTACTCGCATATTCATTATACGTTTAGAGCATCTTCAGAATTTACATGTTGAAGATGACTGCTATAAACTGCTTTAGATCTTCCTCAACTTACGTCTCGCACACACTCAAGTTACATAAGGATTTGTCTAATGTTACATATTTTATATCGTGAGTTACATGTCAACTTTTTTTAACAAGTTACATATGTTTACATTTGATTTACATTTTCCAAAACGCGTGTTACACCACAATATAATGCGAGTTACACAACACAATAAGCCTCTGCTATTCAAATCAAAATCATTTTTATAAAAAAACATTTTTATAACCTTGATATTAAAAACAAAACATATACACTATTTATGTAAAATAATTGGACAACAGACTCCTTTTTCCCATTGAAATCAATATTTTATTTCTTATATTATGTATTGGACAAGTTACACTTCTGCTAGACTAGCTAGAGTTACATTCATCAATAATGTGAATTACATTTCTTTACACGTGAATTACACCATTCTGCTACTGGAACAATAGAAAAATAAAAAAAAAGTATTGTACACGCGATTTTTTTAAAACCATTGATTAAAACTATGTTGTTTCTGGAGATGGAGCATGATGCTCATCGTGGGATGATCCCACGGTATAGGAACTGATTTTATTCAATACTTTTAGGATGTTTTTAAGTGGATTGATTTCAGTCCCAAACTAGATCAGTTCAAATCAAACTTTAATAATGATGATGATGATAATGATGATGATGATAACAATAATAGGACGCATAAAATGAAAACAAACATCTAACAGACCATATTACTTCAGAGTTCAAACCAAATCAAACCCAAATTTTTTAATTCAATTAAAAGCATCCTTATTAATGACATTTTAAATGTGACGAAATAATCATTTAAATGTAAAAAACACCATTTTTTACATTTTTAATGTGACAAAATAGTGAGTAAAATGTAAGATCTTACTTTTAAAAGTTAAAAGTACAGTATGTACTCC